GAGAGAACAAGAAACAAAAATCTGTTAAATTTTTTCATACGTGGCACCTGATTACTTCCTGCATGCATCCCAGTAAGCGAAAAGAGAAAAGTTGCCTATTTTACTTCCCATCCATTCAATATTTTACATACTTTTCATATGCCTTCATTCCTGTCAGCTCTTTTCATACGTGAATATTTCCTTTCTTCTCATAAAGGACCTGCTACTTTCCTTTCATCACCACTATTATCCTTCCCTGTACTACCACTACATCTGCTATAACATTTGAGGAATATGCAGCAGTACCACAGTTGCAAACTCTAACATAATGATATTTGCTGATTTATTTCCTATTTCTCTTTCAAAACAATTTTTAAATCTGCTTCACTAGACACAAGTCTACAAGTGCTGACAATAATCTCCCTCATATTCAAAGCAATTCCTGATGTTACATCTCCAAGTTCGCTACCTCAAGACAGCAATTTCCAGGCCGAGGTGGCCAAACAATCAGCAGCTAAGTAAGCAGACTTGAAGCTAGATCTTCCTCATGTCTACCTGCTCAGCAGTATCGAAAGATAAGTGAGGACATTCATTAAACGTACGCTTCACCTGGAACACCTCACATGAGCAATTGCTTTAATTACTAAAGTGATGAAAAATAATTACTAAGGAAAATTCAGCAATCTCAGACTAGGCAAGAAATACCCAAGGGAAAGTCATCATTATAATATTATCCATGTGTTACAAAAGTCAAGAAACCCTTAGTGCCGTTGGCTCCCTTCTTTCCAACATGCTGCTAGCTGTGTGGGGCAGAGCCAGATGACCGAGCAGCTTCCCTATCTTGCTTCTGAACACGGTACCCAGGGGTCCCCACCACAGATGTGTCTCCTTTAAGAAATCAGAGAGTCAGTATCCCTTTATGGTATACAGCACATTAGTTAAACGTGTTTCAGTATGGCACATTCGCTCTGTAATTAAATAATGCTTTATATTGGTTCATGACAACGTAACACCAAGGCGACAGCACCTGCCATTTCCAGGCAAAGTAATTTGCATAAACTTATTCCTCTACTTCCATACCTCCAGCTGCATTCCGTAATTTATACAGACGCACAAATTCTTCCCTCTGACATTAACAAGAGAAACGAGTTGAATAATCAGCTCACAGTATTAAGTGCATTGCATTTACTACGAAGCAAGCTTTTTTAGTTCAGCGGATGATTAATCTTCCCCTCCGCGGGTAGAGTACCGGGAGATGCAGAGAGCTGACAACTGCTCTCGGCTCCTGGCCATGCACTCCATACGCTTACCTTGCAACAACAGCATTTGCTGGATCCCTCCAAGAGCTGCTCTAATTCATTAACCCGGCAAAAGAACTGGACAGCTTTCTGCCAGGTCAGTGAATTAAAGTGGCTCACGTAAGGGATGCCAGAGCCAGTAAAGAGGAGTGGGAGTTTGCGCTTGGAGCCAGACCTCTCCTTTCTGACAGCAGCGAATCTTTAGATCACCTCGGCTGCCAGAGGTACCACCGCCTAATTAGCATCTCCGCTTGCAGCTATCGAGGCTGGAGGTCTCCGCTAGGGACAAGTCTGCTAATGTAAACCAAGAGAGGGAATGGGGAAGAAAGCAGGTGGCTCCGCACCATAAGAAGGGAAATGCAGAGCGTCAACAGTCTAAGGGACAGGCTGCAACAGGCAGACCAAAGAGGCCAAATATGGTCGGGTACCTCAGCCTATTTTTAAACTCGGTCTTTCAGCTGTTCTTTGGGACAGTGTAAAGAAAAAGGACAGATGCTTGGAGATGAAGACCAGGAGACCCACATGCCAGGCACGAAACAAAGGCCCACAGATGAGGCCTGATCCTAAAATAAATTTAAAAGAAAAGATTCCAAAATACTAAGCTGTTTGTATTACACCACCTATTGTGCCAATTTCTTTTCCATGCCTCTGCTCTGAGAGCTTTGAATGCTTTCCACGACAGTCAGACCTCCAGAACTAAGCTTATCCTTAGCTGATGACACCAACAAGTCATTCCCCTTTGCTCAGGGCTTTTAGACTGTGTAGGAAGGCATGGACTTTGACTCTCAAAGTTTATTTTACTTAAGTTCATTGCTGATGTTTGACCTCGGGCTTTCAGACCGTGGTATATTAACTCAGACACCACTATTAATCTCAAATCATTCAGTTTGACTTGCCCATCAGAATCTGCCAAGTTTCTATGAAAAGGTGCTCCCACCCAGTGTGTTAGAGACTCCATTATGGACTCTGTCACATTGCTGCAAAACATGTTACCAATCAGTTGAACCTCCTCTTTCCATGAGGGACCTTTAAGCCACCCCAAATTCTCTGTTACTTTTGCCATTAAAAAAAGCAGGAAAGCCCCATCATCTGAGCACAGCTTTCACTAGCTCACCCTGTCCTGCCAACTGGACCAAATACAGCCCTTGTTCTTAAAAGCTAGGAGAGACCTTATCTGTCTGGCTGAAGGAATTTCTGAATCATCCCATGGGAGCACAGGCTTCTAGTCAGCAGCTAAAAAATCCACCAGCTGTTCGGCCTGGGATATCGCCTTCACGCACACGACAGCAGCTGCGCTTGTCAGTTGCAATAAGGGGAGGGAAGGATCATACATCACCTGCAATGACTTTTTTCTCTATTAAAGTTAGCACTGTTGTTTGAGCAAGACAACCGAATGATGAAAGGAAAAGATGCCTTAAAGCATAGCAGTCTAGTCCACGTGGACTGAACACGTATGTCAAACACATAATAACCAGCATATGTGATGGACAAGATGTTTGATGTTAGCTGTCCATGTTGAAGGTGAAACAACCAACCTGTTCTGCTGTATTTTAATAGCATGCTTTATACTGTGAGTAACTATTGAGCCTTCTTCCTCTCCCTAGTTCCTACATCATTAATCAGCATACTGAGAAGGAGAAAAGTTACAAGCAATTACATCCCAAGGCAGTCCACAGAACCAAAATAACTTCATACAGAAGTAGTCCTAGTCAGAAAGACAAAAGACCTCGGAAGATCCAGGACCTCACACACGTGAAAGGCCCTTGGCTGAGGTGCCTTCCCCCTCCCCCTGGATTTCTTCATGTGCCACCATCTGGGATCCTCTGGGTTTGATGAGTCCCAGCCACAGCAGTAGCAACACGCTAGTCTGCACCCTGGCGCCTTCCCAGCGACCCACGGTCTGCAAGCCCGACTCCGCACACTCAGCTCATGCACCTTTAGCCACATCAAATGGTCAGGCCAGACATGCCCAACTGCTTTGCGCAGCCAGCTATGAGCCTTACATGTTATTCAGCCTGTTTCTTGGATAACCCCTGCCAGTCAGGCTCCCTCTGCAGCCTCCTGGCAACACTCACTGCCACCCAGCAGTCTCCCAGCAACGCTTCCTCCCCCACAGACTGGCTCCCGGTCCCTCCTCGCAAGCTAGCCAGCCTCAACTCGCGCCGTGGGCTCCTCCGAGCCAGCATCAGTTGACGAAACACAGAGCTTGGCCCTGCAGCACCACAGAGATGGCTCCTAATATGGAAAAGGAGCAGGAGGGTTGGCAGGAGCTTAGATCACCAAGGTCAAGGCTCGCATCATTTCCATTAACAAGAAACGCTCTTAAGTTCTGGGCAAGGATGGGAACGGCAAAAACACATGGGGAAAGCCACTGCCCTGATTTATTCCATTTCCAGCCTTCCCATCCAACTGGCAGTGCTTGAGACAGCTCTTTGCTGGAGATGGGAAGCCCAGATCTTATGGGTTGGAACAACACAGGCCAACGTGGTACTAAAATGACAACCTGCGTTTCCACACACTGCACCAACTCTTTTATTTCCAGCCTGTTCTCATCTACATTTGTGTCTGCTCAGTAAAGCACCTCAAGTTCCTTTGGTGTTTTACAGTTTTGTACTCTTTCTCTTCTTCAAGATGCTGAAGTCGTGGCATTCCCAGGATGAACTCAAAGATATCTCCTCAAAGTCACAGCCAACAGCATCAACCGTTGCAGCCACTGCCCGCTGCAGAAGGAGCAGAGGTTCACGCCAGGGACCACGCACATTCGAGCTGGCACTATCAGTTCTTCCAGTCATTGGCAATAAATTCACTCCATGCTTACAGAGGGGAAAAATAATCTCTACAAGCCAAACACCCAACTACAAGTAAAACCAAAAGCATTTAACAGATTAAATCCACCCCTGAGCACCAAAAGCTCTCACCATAAGGCTCTTTATTAGGAAGTTAAGTCTTAACAAGTGGCTTAAGGAGTGGATAAAGCTTTTCCTGGGATAAGCTGCCAGCATGTTGCCCAGTGCCAGTTCCAGGCCACAGGAAGAAGAAAGCAAAAGAAACATAAGAAAATGAAAATCTTTGTTTGGCAAATGGATGCTCGGGATCTGAGAGGAGCTCGCCTATCTTTGCATTCTGAAGTTCCCTGCTATCTTCAGAAAGCAAAAAGAAAAACTATTTTTCTACTCTTCTAGCTTTCTGAAAACAAAACCACGTTGAGACTGCACCTACGATCCTCACCTCAATCCTTTGTATGCCAACCTTCCAGAATTTGCCTCCATCAAATTCATTTGAACATTTGCCAATTAATACAAGGTAATTAACACTTTTGTAAAGGACTGTCTTCACACAATGCCACCATGGTTAAAACATCGCAAACCCAAGCACTACTGCTCTTTGCAGACCTATTTATGAGGGAAAGACAGAAATCTGGTAATGGAAGGTCAGGAGCCACATTTTGCTTATGATTCTCTCCTTCTCAAGCCTACTACTGATTTGCCATAGAGAATCATAGAATGTCAGGGGTTGGAAGGGACCTCTAGAGATCATCTAGTCCAACCCCCCTGCCAGAGCAGGATCCCCTAGGGCAGCCACACAGGAACGCATCCAGGTAGGTTTTGAAAGTCTCCAGAGAAGGAGACTCCACAACCTAAGAAAGAGTCAGCAATCTAATCAAGGGCTGCTTTTCCCCAAAGCACCATGCTGCTCTCCTGCTCTGCACCCCTCCGCACTTACTGCAAGAGATCCGTTCTGCGTGCTGGCCGTGTTCGTGCTCTGCTCTCCATGCGGCTGCGTGCTTCCGTAGAGCGTCAGATTGTGCTCGCTGGTCTGGCCTGCATAGTCCTGAGTGTGTGGCACCCCGTACTCTGTGGGAATCCCGTTCTGTGGGGGTGGCGGAAATGGGATTGTGGTGAATGGCTGCACCATTGCATCAGGAGTTGCTGCTGGCTCCTGGTTACCCTGGAGAAAGAGAAAAGGAGGGAAAATAGCTTTATACTACAGAAGACAGACCAAAACATCAGCACAAGAAATGATAAACACCCACACACCCACGCATGTTCATGTGAATATCCCACCCAGCACCAGCATAACATTGCACAGTCTTCTAGTATCTCCTCTATCAAAACGAGTACGCCGCGCCGCTCTGAGCCACAACAGTTTTCTTAAATATTTTTGAGGCAACTGTCTTGCTACCAGGTGGCACATGGAAAACAAATTACAGGGCTTGCAAATTGCATACCCCTGTAATCTCACACAAGGTTTTACGCACAGTAAGGCATTACTTTGGAAAGGCGGAGAGGTGCTGAAACACTGGAATGAAGAAACACAGTCAGAAGAACAAGGTTCTTCAATATGCCTAGAAGTACCATATCTGGGTCCACCTCCTCATGGCTCTCCTCACAAGTGAGCATATTGTGTGGTTCAGAGCACTCTTTGACACTCCCGACTTCTTCTCACGCTTTTCTCAGCGAGAGAAAAGAAGTACCTATTTTAAAATCAATCTGTGCAGCAGCCCCCTCCTTTGCTCTGGCAGCTGGAGTATCCCATTTGCCTTGTGCTGAGCGTGCAGAAGACACCAAAGACTTGTGGGACTTGAGCTGAGAACACAAGCCTGGAGCATGCTCACTCTCTCCCAAGCCCTGAGCATCGCTGGGATCACAGCAGGCATTAATTACCCACTCCTCCCCGACCTTAGGGTATCCCACAGAGACCTCTACCTAGGGCAATAGACTTTTTTTGCAGCTTTTAGCACTGCCTTAGATGTTGTTTACACCAACCAGATGACTCAGAAACAGACAGCTGACCATGCCAAAGATATCCCCAAAAGAC